CCTGTAAACTTTCACTCAATCCACAATAAAAACCTTAAAAAATAAAAATAAATAAAGACAACTAACTATACACATAGACCTCACCAGAAGGCATACACAGAAATCAAATTGACTACATTTGTGGAAAGAAATGGTGGAAAAGATCCATATCATTAGTCATAACGAGACCAGGGCAGACTGTGGAACAGATAATCAATTGCTCATATGCAAGTTCAGGCTGAAGCTGAAGAAAATTAAAACAAGTTCACAAGAGCCAAAATATGACCTTAATATATTCCACCTAAATTTACAGAGCATCTGAAGAATAGATTTGATGCATTAGACACTAATGACCGAAGACCAGAAGAGTTGTGGGATAACATCAAAAACATCATACAGGAAGAAAGTAAAAGGTCATTAAGAAGACTAGGGAGAAAGAAAAGACCAAAATGGATGTCAGATGAGACTCTTAGACTTGCTTTCCAGCATAGAGATGCTAAAGCAAATGGCCAACTGAGTGGAAGAGATCCGTATTTGTGCCCATTCAAAAGACAGGTGACCCAACAGAATGTGGAAATCATTGGACAATATAATTCATATCCCATGCAAGTAAAATTTTACTAAAGATAATACAAACATGGCTGCAACCACACATTAACAGAGAACTTCCAAAGGTTCAAGCCAGATTCAGAAGAGGACATGGAATGAGGAATATCATTGCTGGCATCAGACAGATCTTCACTGAAGAAAGCAAAGAATACCAGAAAGATATTTACCTGTGATTTACTCACTGCACAAAAAGTTTTGTTTTGTTTTGTGCAAAAGGTTTTTGATTGTGTGGATGACAAGCTATGGACAACACTGCAAAGAATGGTTATTCCAGAATACTTAATTGTATCATGAAAAACCTGTACATAGACCAAGAGTGAGTTGCTTAAACAGAATAAGGGAACACTGAATGGTTTAAAATAGGGAAAGGTGTGCACCAGGGTTGTATTCTATTACCATACTTATTCAATCTGTATGCTGAACAAATAATTAGAGAAGCGGATTATATGAAGAAAAATGTGGCATCAGAATTGGAGGAAGACTCATTAACAACCTGAGATATGCAGATGATACAACCTTGCTGGCTGAAAGCAAAGAGGACTTAACATGAAGATCAAATACCAAACAGTCTTTGGTATGGGTTACAAGAAAACAGTAATACTCACTGCGAGACCAGTAAATAACATCACAATGAATAAAGAAAAGATTGAAGTTGTGAGAGACTTCATTTTGGATCAATCGTCATCAACTCATGGAAGCAGCAGTTAAGAAAACAAATTACGGATTGCATTAGGCAAATTTGCTGCACAAGACCTCTTTAAAATGTTAAAAGACAAAATGTCAGTGTGAAAACTAAAATATGCCTGACCCATGCCATGGTTATTTTCAATAGCCTCAGATGCATGCTAAAGTTGGACAGTGAATGAGGAAGACCACAGAAGAACTGATGTGTCTCAGCTATGGTGTTGGAGAATAAGCTCGGGCAAAGCAATAATTATGAGGTTGGCCCAGAACTGGACACTGTTTCGTTCTGTTGTGCAAAGGATTGCTATGAGTTGGTACCGACTCGATGGTACCTAACAACAACAGTTAGCTATTGGTGCATGGAGGGGATTGTAATCACATAAAGCATATCATGTGCTGAATGTAAAATTGATGATCTGCTCTGTAAACTTTTATTCAATACACAATAAAAAGTTGAAAAAAAAGGATGAACTTAAGTAAAGAATACACAGGAGTACCCTGTACTAATCTTACAATTTTTTTAGGTTTGAAAATATTTCAGAAGAAAATCTTTATGACAATAGAATGGGTAGAGCTGTATGATTTGGAATAAAATTATTTCCAAGATGTATATTTCAGTAAATAAAGGTACAAAATATCGAGTACAATGGAGCTTGTAAAAGTTTGTGGAAAAATGGAACAGAAAGATTTGGAAATTTTCCATGAACTTTTTAAAGTCCCTTCATGTGTGAAAAATTTATATGTATAATCTGTGCATATATACATGTGTGTGTGTGTGCATGCGTGTGAGTACTAGGAACGGGGTCAGCAAATAGTCATTTTTGCAAGTAAACGTTCATGAGAACACAATCATGCCCATTAGTTTCTGGTCTATCTCTAGCTGCTTTTACACCACAGTGGCAGGGTTGAGCAGTTGCATATGACCCACTAAATCAAACTTATTTTCTGTCTGGCTCTTTACAGAAAAAGTGTGCCAACCCCTGGCTTAGAAAATCCAAGAAATATACACAAGGCAGTAAAAAGTTGGCTCGAGGAAGCAGGAATTGGATCTGGGATGTGAAAGAAACCAAATTTTCATTATAAACTCATGTGACTATACAACATTGGTAAAAATAATTTTCAAAACCAAGTAACAACAACAACAAAAAAAGTTAAAACTGCTGATCATTTTCAAAGACACATGCTATTGCTGTCCAAGCCACCCTGCCTGCATACTTTCCTCCCACTTTCTGATAACAGAAGTGAGTCAGTGAATCTCCACAAGGCTTGCTTTCCCTCAGAGGCCTGTGTCACTGAATGTATCACATACCTGGTCTTGTTTTCCCCAGATGATCTGTGTCGGGACCTTGATCTTGTCCATGTTCTGATGGAGGGAGTGTCTTGACTTCTCACTGACGATTTCCAAAAACACTTTTCAGAAAAGGAAAGCCAAGTCAGCACCATGGACAGAGAGCTGACTCCCAAACCCAGGTCACCATCTTCTCTTTCCAGGGGCCCCAGGAAACATCTTGAGTGTCAGAAATTTAAGAAATGAAATGCCATAAAACACTCTTAACTAGCTCAAAACTTAGAGTAGGGCTACTTACGCTTTCGGTAGAAGTCGTTATGAGGGATGCGGACATCGACAAGGCCCTGCAGAATCTATGGATAAACAATCCAAAGTTAGAAGGCTCACTTCCCCAGGAAGAGAAATAAAGTCCTACAATTTATTATACTGTCAAAGCTTTTAGGGTTTAGTTCTCCGAATTCCTTTGGTATATTACATAATGTGGACTTTGTGTGTGGTGCAATGAGTAAATGGGCTCAGCTGCTAACCAGATAGTTAAAAGTACCACTCCACTCAAAGGTACATCAGAGGAAAGGCCTGGCTATCTATTTTAAAACAAAACAAAAAACCAGCCACTGAAGAACCTGTAAGCACAGTCCTACTCTAACATACATAGGGTCACCATGAATTGGAGTCAACTCAACGGTATTATTATTATTATTCAGTGTAATTGGGAGTGAAGGTTTCTAAGACATATGGTGTTTGTTTTAATTAGGAACAAAGTTAGGTAACAATGTAAAGTCCAAAGTCTTGAACATATGGAAAACACCTGTAAAATCTTTTGTGTTTTCCTTCTCTGACAGGTTCCACTTTACACAGGTTCTGACTTTAGTAGGTTTTAGTGTAGTAGTGTAGTGGTTACAAGTCAGGCTGCTGATCTCATGACCAGCAGTTTGAAACTACCAGTGGTTCCACAGGAGAAAGATGAGGCAGGGTTTCTGCTCCCGTAAAGATTTACAGCCTCGGAGACCCTATACAGGGTGGCTCTGAGTCGGGGCTGACTCCACGGCACAACACTACTACCACCACCACCGTATGTTCTGATTTAGTCTCTGGTGACGTCAGACTTTCGTGCCTCTATCCCACACCTGGGTTTACTCCAGCTGTGTCTGCTCTCAGTTTCTATATAAATGCTTTTCCCTAGCTGCCGGAGATCTTATGGTCAGCGTGCTCTTCCCATTGTCGTTGGCCTTCCTCCCCTCCGCCCCCTTCCCTACTCCCAACCCCTGGGCCCTAACTATTACAATACCCCTTTTTCTTTCTGCTAAAACTTCTACCTATCTAACAATAGATTTTTTTTTTTTTTTTTTTAAGTTAGACAACAAAGAATCTGATTCTGGGTGTTTCTTCCCCTGGGCTTCCTCAGAGAAAGACCGTATCTGTGAAATAGACTGAATTTCTGAGAAGAGTACATTCTTTCAATGCCTCATCCTACACCCCGAGGCAGAGTCCAGTCCCTACAATTAACAACAACAACTAAACACCTGAGGCACAGCCCAATCTCTACAACTAACAACAACTAAAAACAGCTGCCTTTGACTCTATGAATGTGTGACCGCACGTATGCAGGGGTTTTCATGATTGTGACTTTTGGAAGTAGAGTGCCTTTCATCCAAGACACATCTGGATGGAGTCAAACTGCCAACTTTGAAGAACTTTAAGGCAAGTTATTAACAGTTTGGGTGACCCTGGTGCTGTTGTGGTTATGTGCCGTGGAGTCGGTTGCGACCCTGTACAGGGTTTCCGAGGCTGTAAATCTTTACGGGAGCAGAAAGCCTCATCTTCCTCCCACAGAACTGCTGGTAGTTGCAAACTGCTGACAGTGACATTAGCAGCCCGATTCATAACCACTACACTACCAGAGCTCCTTAGACTCCTTAATTCCTACAGTGTTGTTGCTGTGTGCCACTGAGTCCATTTCAACTCCTGGTGACACTACAGGTCAGTGGAGAACTGCCCCCATAGGGTTTCCTGTAGTCTTTATGAGAGCAGACCACTGGGGCTTTTTTCCTGCAGTGCAGCTGGTAGGTTCGAACTGCAGACCCTTTGGTTAGGAGTTGAGTGCTAAACCATTGCACTACCAAGGCTGTTTATTCTTACACTAGAGATAATTTGGGAAAAGGAGGCCTCAGGCACTGACTCTCTTCTCTTGGCCTCTATGCCCTTTTCCCTCTCCATGACTTTCAATATCATCTGCTCTGCAGATGACTCTAAATGTATATTCCCAGGCCACACTTCTCTCAGTTCCACTTGCATATATGAGGGGGCTTCAACAAGTTCATGGAAAAATGGAATGAAAAGATAATGGGATTTTTCCATAAACTTTGTGAAGCCCCATTATATAATTACTAACGTGACAGCTCCACTTGGAGGCCTCACAGATCATCTGATTTAACACACCCAAAATGGAGTTCAGGCTTTGTGCCCTAAATCTGCAGTTTCTCGATTTCCTCTTAGTTTTTATCACCCCAATTACTCAAGTATCAGAAATCACCTGAGAGTCTCCATGTTCCCTCAACCCCATTTCCCCAGTAAGCCCTGTCCTTTCTCCCTCCCAGAGCACCTCTAGTCTTCCTCTTTCTCAGCTCCACCACCACGCAGGTCTAAGCCACTACTACCTCCAAGTCACAACAGAAATCTTAGTGAGTTTCTCTGCTTCTGTTTCTGCTCCCTACAGCCTTTCAGTAAGGAGCCCTGGGAGTGCAGTGGGTTATGAGTCGGGCTGCTAACAGCAAGGTCAGCGGTTCCAACCTACCTGCTGCTCAGTAAGAGAAAGATGAGGCTTTCCACTCCTGTAAAGATTTGCAGCCTCAAAACCCTATAAAGGGTCGTGATGAGTCAGAGCCAACTCCATGGCAAACTACCACCAACCGCCCCCTCAGTCCTTCAGTGGTTCTCCTATTGCATTTAGAAAACACCCAGACACCTTCCCATAAGCTATCAGGCCCTCCTCTATGACCAAGACCAGAGCTTCTCAAAATGTTTTTTTCTATTCCCTGAGACTAAGACGAGTTTGATAATAATACTAAGTGTTGTCTTTTTTTCTTTTTCTCTCAAGAACACCACTGCACTAAGCTTACATGCTGTTGTTAAGCACTGTTGAGTCTGTTGTGACTCATGTTGCTGTTGTTAAGTGCTGTTGAGTCGGTTCCAACTCACAACGACCCTGTACAGAGTTTCCGAGGAGTGACTGGTGCACTTGAACCGCCGACCTTGCGTTTCAAACTGACATTGCCCTTCATCGCATTAACCTACAGCACCACACCAGGACTCACAACAACACTGTATAGGGTTTCTGAGGAGCAGCTGATGGATTTGAACCGTCAACCTTGTGGTTCATGGTCCAGTGCCAATAATCCTACAGCGCCACACTATGATACAGCATAAAGCATCACTCTGACAGCTAAATAAGAGTGTTTATGAATATTCCTGTGTTTTCATTTTCTTTTCACTTTTAGCGTCTACAATGGTAAACATGAACTATATCTACTGATGTAAATAAAAGTTTAGTGGGGTCCTCAATAATGTTCAAGACTGTTAAAATCCTTTGATACAAAAAAATGAGAACCTCTGATGTAGCCCCTAACTCTCTTTCTAGGCCCATCACAACTCACTCTCTAGGATCCAGCCCTGTAGGACCTGGCCACCCTGGCCTCTTGGAGCATCTTCAGCTTGTCTATGTTTTTCCCACTTCTGCATACACTATTCCCTCAAAGAGGCTTATCAAAGCTTCCTGCACCCCTAGTTTCCAATCACTGCATCCCTTTCATTTCTTAGATAAAGCTTACTACAATTTGTAATGCTGTGCTTACTAATTAACTGTCTGTCTCCCCCACCAACTGTGTGAACGGTCTTTGCAGGAACTTTCTCACTCTCATTTATTCACCCCCATGCCCACATGTCACAGGTACTACATAGACAGTTGTTGAGTGAATGAATGAATGAATGAGTGAATGGGTATAAGGAGGAGCTTGTGACGGAGGCAGGGTAGGAGCATTGCTATCAAGACCGTTACCTGCTGGGGCACCTTGAAGCGGACATAGGAGCAGAGCTGAAGCATTTCGCTCATCTCTTCTGGGGTGGACGGGATCAAAGGGATCTTCTCAATGGCAGCAGACTCTTGTAGTTCTTTGAGCCGTTGTACAAACTGATTATCAGTTGAGTACTGCAGGCCTGTGAGATTCAAACCAGAACAGCTTGGTAAAACAGCTTGGCAAGATATTTATATACAACATTCCCATTTATGCAGGGAACATCTGCACAGAGCTAATATATTTTAGGTTCGTTCACAAGTATATGTTTTCTCTCTCCAGATTTAAAAAAGAAATTGATACTGTATAGTTAATGCCAAAACTACACTCTGAAAGCACAAGGGGACAAAATCCTTAAAGATGTGGTAAAGCCTTAGTTACTCAAAGTGTGGGCTGTGGGCCAGCAGCATTGGCATCACATGGGAACTCATGAGAAATGCAGAATCTCACCTTCTCTCTGAGCCTCGAGAATCAGAATCTGCATTTTCACAAGTTGTCCAAGATTCCTATGCATGTTAGCATTTAAGAGGCACTAGACAAAGAGCCTGGTAGCACAATGGTTGGACACTTGACTGCTAGTTGGAATGATGGTGGTTTGAACCCTGACCCCAGTAGCTTCATGGAAGAATGACCAGCTGATCTGCTCCAGTAAAGATTACAGCCTAGAAAACCCTGTGGGGGCAGTTCTACTTTGTCACACGGGGTCACTGTAAGTCAAAATTGATTCCATGACACACAACAACAGTCTAGAAGACAATTTGTTTGAACCCACTTCACATCTGTGTCTTTGAGACATTAGCTGAAAACGAAAAGAAAGTCACTAGAGTGATTTACTACTCATTTTTTTGGCCTGGACTCCTTCCTTGTAATGTCTTCATTTGGGGTCAAGATATCTGAAAGCGTGGGGAGAGTAAGTCCTCCACTGACCTGCTCCCACCTCAGGGAAACAGCATCACACAGCTTCTCTTCCTCCAAGAAAGCATACGGCAACTGCTGAGAGCAAACGGCTTCAAGACTGACCTTTATTTCCCATCATCCGAAAGCACAACACAGCTACAGTGGCTGACATTATGCAAGAGTGCAAAACTATTCTACTTCCAAGACTGAGCAATTTCTATATTATCTAGATATGTGAGCTAAGCCCAAAAGGATGATTCTAGAAAGGCAGTGGTATCAATAATATTGGCTCTGCTACAGAAATTCACTTTATAAATCTTCTGTATCCAACAACTCTCTAAAATCTCATGTGGAGTATCATGCGCAGTTTTCACACTGCCATGGGGGAGACTGTAAAATCTATTTTTTCATTCTTTCAAAAATAATCCCAGGCTAAATGTTACATATTGTGGAACAGAAAAAGGACATCAGTGGAACAACTCATGAAATCCAATGTGTGGAGTTTGGTTAATAGTGATATACCTACCAGTACAGGTCCACCCTGCTTTTTGTAAGCTTGCTTTAGACCACTTTAATTTAACAAAAGACCTATATTAGCACCTGTTTTCACTAACAAAAAGAAAGAAAAAGGGGATTTTTCACTTTTAGGAAAAAAAGCAAATAATTGCATCCAGTCTTTGTTTTGCAAAAAGAGGTTAAAGAGTTAGCGGGCACACAGATCAGAGAGAGGGCATCACCAGGCTCCTTCCCCAGACACTACACTATGCATCTCAGCATTGAGCCACCATAGAGCTGAACTGTGTCTGTGAACAATTACTGTGTTAGTGGTATTGTAGGGTTCATGTGTTATTTGGCATGATTTGATAGGTTATTTTTTGAGTCTTAGAATGCTCAAAAAAATTTCCCCATACTAACATGGTTATTGCTTCTTCACTTTATGTCATTTTGCCTTACAAAAGGTTTCATAAAAACACTCCTGTGTTTTTTGGGGAAACCTGTACCGGTTTCTTAGTTGTGACAAATGTACCAGAATAAAAATGGGGGAAACTAGGGGAAGAGAAAATGGGAGTCTGTACTATCTTTGCAACTTTTCTGTAAATTTAAAATTATTTCAAACCAAAACCTTATTATTAATCTAGGTTTTAAAGAAAAATCTGAATTTGTTTCTACTTTTTCATTTTTACATACAAACTTCATTCTAAATTTCCAGTTGAAATTCTTGTAAAATTTTTCTCTGAGCAAGTGAACTCACATTTGAAAAGGCTAGATAAAGCTGTCCTTCTGGATGTGATTTAAAATCTAATAACTTTCCAGAAGGGTTGTTCCATTAGTTCTCAAGCTTTATTATTAAAAGAACAAATGATTTCAGCTATGGTGATCGTGAAAATGAGAAACCCCTTTGGGGGCTCACTTTCCATTTCAATATCCTTAATAGCACTGAAAACTATTAACTTTCAAAGCGGCATAAAGATTTTAAAGGTCAATTTAGTTAAGCTTCAGTAAAACGTGTAAGGGTTCAACTCATGGCAGGGCTCTAAAAGGGGCTTGTGGGTATGAGTTCTATAAAGGAGGAGGTTGTGAACATGAAAGGACTTCAAAAAAGCCACAGCCTGGGATTGGTTCTTATCCTGGTGCCAGCATTAATGTATATTCTTTGTGCCTCAATGTTTCACCTATAAAATGGGTATGGTAGCTTGATCTTGGTGGTAATTATACATGTAAAACGTCATGGAAATGTATACTTAAAATTTGGGCAATTTACTATGAATAAATCATCTCAAATAAAGTACTAAAGAAAGAGTGAGAAGGAGAATGGGAAGAGAGGGGAGAAAAATGAAGATTTTTCTCTCTGAGATATTATAAATCCAAGTTTGAAGACTTATGGAAGAAAAATGAATTTAAAAACAAAACTTCAGATGATACTCTCTAGAGATATATTACAGCTCAAGTGGGCATGTACAGAGAAACTAAAGTTTGCTATGTTTTTTTTTTTAAAGATCACAGAGTTTTCAGCAAAAAAAGGAAAGCAAAAATAGATCCTCACCTCACAGAGTTAACATGTTATCGTGAGAATTAACTCCACATAAAGAACTAAACTCATAAGGGATCACTCAACGTTGGATGTTATTATTATCACTGTATTTCCAAGTGTTAATGTACTGCAAAACCATATATGCATTTTAATTTATCACCTCTAATTTTCTGTAGTATAAGGCTGGCTGTACATTTTTACAAGTTAGTATGACAGGATTATTCTATAGCTATCTTATGGAGTACTAGGGTGGCACTAGTTAGGATAAGAACTCAACCTGGTCAGTTTGAACTGTAAGAATGGTGGTTCAAACTCACCAGTCCGATCCTCGGAAACCCTACACAGGGTCACTCTGGGCACTTAACAACAACAACAACACGGTTGGTGAGAAGTGTCACTAAAACAATGTGTATCGACAGTATTCATTATAAAGATGATGCTGAAAAAAGTCATAGCACACACAGGCCACATGTTTCTTCAGCATTCCAGACCCTGTGTGCTCAAGCTCCTTACCGGGATATTTGAGCTTTGTAACTTACCAGCAGGGCACACGAGGGATAGGCTGCAGATATCTGATGGATAGTAAGCAGCGTACACCCCAGCCACATGACCGCCCATGGAGGTGCCTACCAGATGGAAGGGTTTTTTGTTCAGCTTGAGCAACTCTACAAACTAAGAAGGAAAAGGAAAACGAGGCTGTTATAAAGCGGTAGAAAATTATAATTAAAGAGTAGAAAATTGTACTTCCTATGGGGAGCTCTGGTAGCGTAGTGGTTACGAATTGGGCTGCAAACCTTAAGGTCAGCGGTTCGAAACTACCAGCTGCTCTGTGGGAGAAAGATGAGGCTTTCTACTCCCGTAAAGATTTACACCCTCGGAAACCCTATACAGGGTCGGTATGGGTCGGAACCGACTCGATGGCACATAACAACAACAACATTGTTGAAACAGGAGTCCTCATGTGGCACTGTAGGATAAACATTAGACTGCAAACATGTTTGAACTGCAAGGCTGGTGGTTCAAATCTACCAACCGCTTGTCAGAAATTCTACACAGGATTGTTATGAGTCAGAACTGACTCGATGACGCCCGACAAAAACATTGTTGAAACAAGATCTAAAAATCTACTAGATCTATTTTTCAGTCAAATGTTTCTCTTTGCCTGGGTACAAGTTACTGATGCTCATTTATAAGGACCCTCTTAATTCATGAGTTGGCAAACATTTTTATAAAGGTCTAGGGAGTAAATATTTTCTACTTAATATATCATATCATCTCTGTTGCAACTAATTGACTCTGCTGTTGTAGCACAAAAGTAGCCAAAGGCAATAAACAAATGAATGAACATGGCTTTGTTCCAATCTAAATTAATTTACAAAAACAAGTGACAGACCATATTTGTACAGAGGCTATGGTATGCCAACTTCTTCCTTAATGCAAAGTCCTTTCCACCCCCACCCCATTCATCTACCTACCACCCACTCATCCATCCACTTACCTAGTCAGCCAGCCATCCACCTACCACCTATCCCTCCATCTACCCATCCAATCATCCACCTATCCATCCATCTACCCACCCATACATACATACATCTATTTAACCAACCACCTGCTTATCCAGCTATCCATCCACCCACCCATCCATTCCTCCATAAACTACCTAGTCACCTACCCTCCCACCCACCTATTGAGCCATCCACCCACCTGCCCACCCACCCATCCAGTCAGTCATTCAACCATCTAAACAGTATTTATCAGTTATCAATTATATACCAGGAAATAGAGCAACATGTTTAGAATCCTGGTATGGCACAGTAGAATAAGCAATGGTCCTCTAGCCACAAGATTGGTGGTTCAAATCCACCAGCCACTCATTGGAAAACCTATACAGGGTCACTATGAATTAGAACTGGCTCAACAGCACTTAACGACAGCAAAAACATAGCCACATGCTTTTAATACAGCAAAGAGCCAAAGACTTCATTAGAATACACCATATATGGGAAGGCAGGCATGGAATAAATATCCTCATCTGAGGGATGGGGTGAGGAGAGAACCAAAACCAACTCAATGTCAATCTGAAACTTGTTGTTTAGTGCTGTCAAGTGGGTCAGACTCATAGTGACCCTGTGTAGTGTTTCCAAGGAGTGGCTGGTGGGTCTGAACCAATGACCTTGCTGTTAACAGCCCAATGCTGTTAACAGCCCATTGCCACATCAGGGCTCTAATCTGAAATTTATAGGCTAGTAAATTCTGAAATGGCTCACAAGCCATTTGGTAAGTGAGATAAGGGTACCTATTCATATTTACTTGTATCTGCAAACAAAAATGATGGAAACATATATTGTTGTTATTAAGTGTCTTTGAGTTGATTCCAACTCATAGCAATCCTGTGCCCTGAAATGCCCAGCTGGAGGGGCTGGAGAGAGATTTCAAAATAAGACAAAATATAGAGAGCACCACTCGTTCAACCTCACCAACCAGGGAGAGAGGGTATTATGGTCATCAAATAGCTAATAAGCAGAAAAATAAACCCCAGAGAAGGATATGGTCTTGAGAATTTGTAATCTTCTCTTTGAAAGAGCTGAAAAAATGGCCTGTATTATATTTCTTCAAAACCAACCACAAGAGGCTTAGAGGACAGTCTGCACAGGCTTAGAGAATGCATTGGAGACAACATGGAACCCTGCCCTCCAGACTTGAGCATGCATTCGTGGGCAGGACTCAGTCTGGGCAGTTTGGGTGATGCCTCCTGCTTACCTGGTGGATCCTTTTGACTTGCCCATCTATGGACAAGTCATCCAGGGAAGAGCGAGTGGTCCCCTCATGTCCTGGCATGTCCACGCAGACCAAGTGCAGGTTCTTCGGAAGAAACTGAGAACACACAGGCCCAGAGAGTTAGTATGTTGTGTGTAGGATATGTTAGCCCTTGTTTCTAGGTGACCTGGACAGCCATCACTGGAGATGTATGAACCTGGGCCACTTAGTGTTTTACCCCAGTAAAACCTGATGTGAATGAGCATTGCACAGGCCCTCTTCCTCATCTTTTGAAACCTTTCCATACTTACTCCAGTCACATGACTACTGACTTGGAACGAGAGGGGCGTTCTGTTCTCCCAGGCCCTGGCCAGTTCCAACAGCAGCACAGCTTTCCTAAGAACCATGTCTGATCACCCTAATTCTGGTTTCAATGGCTTTGTGTGTGTGTGTGTGTGTGTGTGTGTGTGTGTGTCTAATTAAGGTCTAATGCTAGGTGTGACGATTATCCTAAAATATCTTGCTCCTTTGATAAGTGCCACTCTCAACAAGGAAAAACCAGTTATCAACAAACAAATATCCAGTTGTATGAAGGCTGCTTATCTGAGATGGGGTCAGGAACAAGAAGCTCATAAACACATGATGACTGTCCTCAGAGGAAAATTTGAAAATAAGAACACAGGTAAGTAGAGGATGAGTGAGCCTTGTACTCCTGGCATAAACACTTGGGACCATTAGGGCATAATTCTGCTTTAGGGGGGACCTGGAGATACTGCTGTCCTAAGACTTCTTCTACTCTGGCCTCACAAGCCAGTTACTCTGACCAAGTTAACAAGTAGCCACACCCAAGTTAACCAGGACAAAAAAAATGAGTGATTTGGGAAACTATCCCAGAAAGTTGCTAGATCAAGACTGTGTCTCTAAAATGCCTTAAAAAGAAGAAGCAGAAGCTGAAGAAAAAGAGAAGAGACAAAAGCAAGGAGAAGAAACAGGAAAACCTGGAGGATACAAGAACAATTTGTTTTTAAGCCTACATCAACATGGCAGTTCTGAGATGAAGCTGGGTGTCAGCGTCCTCTCTAAGAATGATTCATGAAGTGAAATGATTGCTAAGGCACAGTTTTTACAAACAGTATTCAACTGAATAAATATTTGTCTCACAAATGAGTTTGAAAAATACATCATTGCATTAGTTTGTAAGATCCTTTGACTCACAGTCTGGTTCCCTTTGCTTTCTGCCATTTCATGATGACATCATGTCCAACTGTAAAACCCTTCACTCAGTGACAGACACCCTCTTGTGAGAGAAGAATCTAGAACCTCACCTTGACCACACTGAGCCACATATCCTTGTGTGCAGAGAATCCATGGAGCATGAGGATAGTGGGTTTGTGCCCAGGTCTGCCACGGAAGGAATAACAGAATTGATAGTCTTCATGGTGGGCATAGCGGACCTGCATGCCCAAAGTCCTCCGCCAGTACCTAGGGAGGAAGCATTAAGGCAAAACAAAATCAGCGCACTCCAGGGAAGTGACTTCAAGAGGGGGCACAGGTCCCTTCTGTTAGTCTTACTCAGTGGAAAGCAAGCACTTCAACCAGCCCTTGTCCTCCATGTAAAAATCTGGGGTCATCCAGAGTGTCACCTTCAAGGAGTATTAAGCAAAACCATACCGGAAAGCACCTGAAATGAACCATTCTACTAATCACTCTAGGATGGAGAAAAGAGGTGTTTTCTTCAGAAGTATAGCTCATGTAATAGCCTTGTATTAATACATATTCTAAAGATGTTAAGAGTGTCAAGTTGTTTCTTAAGAACTGTCTATGTTAGAGAGGAATGTAAAAGTTAAAGTGAATAGAAGTAAATGCTGCTAGCTGTTGATACATGGAGGGGACTGAAATCATTGTTATGAAGGAAAGTACATGATTTGTTGAATTTAAACTGATGATCTGCTCTGTAAACCTTCACTTAATTCACAATAAAAGGTTTTTAAAAATCTGTGGTGGTTCTCTGGCTTTATTACAGACAATTTATGGCAGTAGCTGGAAAGCTCAGCTTCTGCTGGTTGCATAAGACTTGGCAGTGATGGAGTTTGGCTTCAAACAGATTTCATTTTGAAATAATCATCTAAATAAATTGAACTTTCTGCATTAAGAATCCCTCCAAGACAGAAGATAACATTAATTCACTCAGAGATGCATTTTGTGATATACTTTGCACCAAACAGGTAGCCAAGTCTTGCAAATGCAAAAAATATATAAAACATGGTAAGTGAGATAAGGATACCTATTCATATTTACTTGTATCTGTAAACAAAAATGATGGAAACATATATTGTTGTTATTAAGTGTCTGAGTTGATTCCGACTCATAGCAATCCTGTATAGTTTCTGAGGAACAGCTGGTGGTTTGAACTATTGACCTTGTGTTTAGCAGTTCAGTGTTTGTGCTACAGCACTATATCAGGACTTCCAAGACACTCTTAAGATGAGTATCTGTAGGAACAGTTTGATGTCAAATGTGTGTCTTGGTATAGAGTGTACCTTTCTATGAATTAAAAAAAAATTATAGGTACCCTTCCAACCACACTAAAACATCTTTAACATCATAAATACATAAATGGCATATTCTGATTAAAAAAAAAAAAAAGGTGAGTACCTGGGGTGGAGGTAGGGAATTAGGTGACAAGTAGGTGGAGTGGGGGAAGAGCAGTGGGAGGGAAACTCTTCACCTGCTCCTTTAAATACTTTTTAATGAACATATTGTCAAAACAATAAACCACTAAAGCCAGCGATAATGAAATGGAAGAATTCTACCAATTTATTTAGTCTGAATTTGATCAAACATGCAAACAAGATGTGTTGATAATTGGCAGACAATTGAAATGCAAAGATTGGAAACAAAGAGGAAGAATCAGTAGTTGAATAATATGGTGGCAGACATGCTACTGGAGATCACTTGATAGAATTTTGCAAGACCAATGACATCTTCATTGCAAAGACCTCTAAGACTATACATATGGACTTCACCAGATGGAATACACAGAAATCAAATTGACTACATTTGTGGGATGAGATGGTAGAAAAGCTCCAAATCATCAGCCAATACAAGACCAGGAGCAGACAGACCATCAATTGCTCATATGTAAGTTCAGGCTGAAGCTGAAGAATATTAAAACAAGTGCACAAGAGCCAAAATATGACCTTGAACTTATCCCATCTAAATTTAGACATCATCTCAAGTACAGATTTGATGCATTAGACAATAATGAGGGAAGACTAGAAGAGGTGTGGGATGACATCAAGCACATCATATAGAAAGAAAGCATAAGGTTGTTTAGAAGACAAGGAAAAAGGAAAAGACCAAAATGGATATGAGAAGAGACTCTGAAACTTGTTCTCCAGTGTAGAGATGCTACAGTGAACAGCAGAAATGAGGAAGTCAAAGAGTTGAATTTCAAAGTGCAGCTCTCCATAAGACCTGGAATTAGAAATCAAAAGGGAAGAACATGCTCAGCATTTCTCAAGCTGAAAGAACTGAAAAAACAAAAATTCAAGCCTCAAATAGAAATATTAAAGGATTTTATGGGCAAAATATTGAATGATGCAGTAAGTATCCAAAGAATACAGAAACCAGAGAATAAACAAGTTGGTGGATCAGGAGGAAGTGCAGTGAGTAGCTCCATCAGCAACATACAGAATATCAGACAAAGCAGGCTCAGGGGATGGTCCCAGAACTCTGAACCACATATAAAGGAATATTTAGAAAGTTGGAAGGCTTACAGCTAGGAGAATTTGTAGCAGAAG